TGCTTTCTCAATTTCTCTCTCTCTCTCTCTGTCCCTCTCTGGTCAAACTGAAATAAATAAATAAATAAATAAATAAATAAATAAATAAATAAATAAAGTTAAATAAAATATTTTTTTTAAAAAAGAAGGAAAACAATTGGAGATTTGAGGAAGACTCTTCAGGTGAGATGGCACTGCGATATAGGCAGAGCTTTGATAGCCAGAATGGAGCAGACCCTCAGATTCCTATCATTTTGGAGTTTGAAGTAAAACTTGTTTTTGTATCAGAAGAACATTATACTTAGAAAAATGCTTGGACAAGGGGCCAGCAGGTAGTGTGGTTAGGAGTGCTAGATTCCCATATGGCCCTCCATCGTTTAAGTCCTGGACCTGAGGGCTGGCTTTCTTGATTCCCTGCCTCCCCCTCACTCTCACTCTGTCCCTCTCTGGTCAACTCTAAATAAATAAATAAATAGAGTTAAATAAAAATAATTCTTTAAAAAAAAAAAAGAAAAAGAAAGTAAACTACCAGGACTCAAACCACGGTCAGCTACATGGGAGTCCAGCGCCTCAACCACTATTCCACATGCTGGTCCAAAAATAGGACACTTCTAAACATAGATTTATTTATATAATCTGTTTTCTTTTTTTTTTTAAGAATTATTTTAACTTTATTTTCTTTAATTTGATCAGAGAGTTACAGAGTAAGAGAATGAGAGAGTAAAAGTGAGAGAGAGAAAGTGAGAAAGCAAGCCACCCTGAAATCCCTTCTCCTCCATTCTCCTCTCAGGATTTTGGGCACACACATACACATAGCCAGCATGATTTCCAAACTATGGGATCTAGGATTCAAACTATGCAGTGGGCCATGTGGGATCCAGCATCTTAACCTCCATGCTTCCTGCTAGCCTAATGGTTTGTAACATTTATAATGCTGAGAAGTACTCCATAATGTGGATATATCATAGTTTATTATGCATTCACTCACTGAAGTACATTTGTGTGGTCTACAGGTTGGGGTAGTTATAAATAAAGCTGCTAGGGCCACTCAGTGAATTAATGGTTCAGGCAGCTGGATCCCACATGGCTGTGTTGTTTGAGTCCTGGATCTGGCAGCTTGAAAAATAAACCAGGCATGTGTGTGCCCAAAATCCTGAAATGAGGGCGATATGGAGAAAGGATTGCAGCATGGCCACCTCCCGGGTGTGTGGGGGGGTGCTTTCTCACTTTCTCTGTTTCTTTCTGGTAAGCCCTATAGCAAATTAAATCAATCAATAAAGCTGCTCTAATCAGGGAAAAAAATGTTGAACAGACCTGAGAATACATGTAAATAAGGCAAGTACATTATGGAACTTTATCACAATACCTAGAGTAAAATATATATAAAGGCATTGCCAATTGTATGCATACATCTAAAAAATATTAGAGTGAAAAATCGAAGGAGCACAACATAATGTAATGCTCTTGAAGACTGACTATGGTAATATCCTTTATGCGATTATCAAGCACAGCATACACTCTTTGAAAAACTATTGTACCCCATAAAGATGTACAGTTAAACATAAATAAGAAATTTGAAGTAAACTAAGCAACTATAAAGTTAAACATAAATAAGAAATTTGAAGTAAACCAAGCAACTATAAATACTTAATTTTATTTATTATTGTTATTGTTTGCTATAGTGTGCATGCATTTGCCAGAGAAAGGCACACACACACACACACACACACACATAGAAAGAGAGAGAGACAGAGAGAGAGAGAGAAAAAGAAAGCAGGCCACCAGGTCCAGGACTTGAACTATGGTCAGCCATGTAGGAGTTCAATACCCTAAGCACCACACCACCTGCCGGCCTGCTATAAACATTTAAGTACAGATTTTCTATGGTACATGAATTTTTATTTGTCTTGTGTAAATACCTAGTTGATTACTAAATCATATGGTACATTTAACTTATCTGTGTTTTAATTTTTTTAAAGGAATTATTTTATTTAACTTTGTTTATTTATTTAAATGTAACTAGAGAGGGACAGAATGAGTGGGGGAGGGGAAGTGAGAAAGCAAACCACCAAGCCCGGGACTCGAACTGCAGCTGACCATGTGGGAGTCCAGTGCCCTTAACCACCATATCACCTGCTGGCCCCTTAATTTTTTTTTTTATTATAAGGCACATGCACTCACCAGAGGCAGGCAGAGAAGGAAAGTGAGAAAGCACCCCCCCAGGAGTTGTGGCCATGCCACAGTTCCTTCTCTTTCATTCTCCTCTCAAGATTTTGGGCATGCACGCACATCTACCCAGCATGTTTTTTAAGCTGCTAGTCTGGGACTCAAACTGTGTATTTGGCCATGTGTGATTCACCCACCTTAACCTTCGTGCCAACTGATAGCCCAGCACACATGATGTTGAGTTAGCCTGGGAGGTACCTGTCTCTTCTGATACTCCTACTAATACGAAGAGCAGGGCTAGCCCTGTGACCTAGTGGTTAAGGGAACCTGATCCCTCATGGCTGACTATAAAATCCCAGCCCTGGCAACGTGAGAAACCCACTGGATATGTGTGCTCATGTGACCAAAACCCTAAAAGGACGGAGAAACGGAGAACTGATTGCTGCGTGACCACACCTTACTAGGGGCTGCTTTCTCTATCTTTGGTGAGCATATGTGTCCTCTGGCAATATTTTTAAATGAAGACTATGAAGAGTCTAATCTAGGAATGTGGTGATAATCCTGTGATAAATAAGGAAAGTTCAGGGCTCTGTAATAAAGAGCCCACAGGCTTTTGTGTCCGAGAAGGACAGCATGACATCTTTCTTATTGCATCTTTTTTTTTCTTTTTTTTTCATTTCCTTTGCTCCCTTTGTTTTATCCGATTTCTACAGTTTCATAAAAGCTCCCAGTAACTGGGGCCATCAGGTGGCATGGTGATTAAGGCCCTGGGCTCCCAACATGGCTGACCATGGTTCAAATCCCAGGCCCAGAGGCTTAAAAATCATGCTGGGTGCATGTACACCCCAAATCCTGAGAGAATGGAGGAGAAGGGATTATGGCGTGACCAACCCCCCAGGGGTCTCACTTTCCCTCTCTCTGTCTCTCTCTCTCTCTCTGGCGAGCACATGCACCCTATGGCAAAAATCTAAAAAGTAAGCACTTTCTGTGATGTCATTCCCCAAAGGAAGTTGGATTCAGAAGACGAGAATGCCTATTTCTACCCGAAAGGGACCACTGGAGGTGCCATCCCCAACAGAGAAGGACTGGTCTAAGGAAGATGATGAGGATTATGTCCTCAAGGATCCAGATCAGGGGCTGGATTCCCTGCCTCAGCCTTATCGAATGATCAACAAGCTGGTAAACCTTCTGTTTGACCGGTCATGGGAAATTATTGAAGAGAGGGATGCAGTGAGGGAAGCTGAGAGCAGCCGAGTCCAGCCCACCGTCTACCCTCCATTTGCAGAAATCCAGGTAGGAGAAGCTGGTGGCCAACCAGAGATATTAAAAAATGACTTTAGTTGAGTATCAATAAATGAAAACCCTTGGCTCTGGGAAGGAATTCCTATTAGAAACTTTCGTTCATGGCCATCCTGCTGGGGGGTGATTTCTCATTTTCCCTCTCAATATATCTGTCTCTCTTCGACAAGCCCATAAGCCTTATGGCAAAAACCTAAAAAATAAAAATAAAAATAATATAATAGAAATTTATTGATACTCGGATGAGAGTTTTTAGATGAGTACTATGTTTGGGGATGATTTTGTTGCTAGGAAGGGGTCTTGACCCTTTTTGAAAAGTTAGCTTATATAACTTGAAGATGGTGACAGCTGAAAAGAATGACTTGTTTTTGTTTTTGTTTTCCCAGCTCAATAAAAAGCCAAATTGTATGGCTATTTCCCAAGACTTTGTGTTTATTGGAGAAGCTAAAGGATTCTCGATTTATAATCTGTACAATGCTAAACAAATATGTGTTTGGGAGAAACTGAAGGTTGATGTCACTTCCATCTGGGTCACAGATTTGGGGAGTGAAATACTTATTGCTCCTGTGGATGAACTGGGTATTTCTTCTTCCTCTTTCTTTCTACCCTAATTTAAAGGTACCATTAGACTGCTGTTCAGTTTTACCTCCTTGCCAGGTATGGGTGATGCCAGTCATGAAGAGCTGTCTTTGACCATGTAGTGGTAACTAAGACCTATGGGACAAGTATGGTGTGCCAGGCACTGTTCTAACATTTCACAGATGTTAGCCCATTTAATCTTCCCAAGAGCCCTAGGAGGGAAGCATAATTTACTATCTCCATTCTGAAGAGGCTACTGAGGCATAGAAGTTAAATAACCTACTTGAGGGGCCAGCACATAGTCTAGCAGTTAAAGAAACCAGATCCCACATGGCTGACTACATGGTATGAGTCCCAGAACCAGCAGCTTGAAAAACATACTGGGGAAGGTGGGGGGACACAGATGGCGTGGTGGTTAAAGGTGCTAAACTTCCACATGGCTGATCATGGTTCGAGTCCCGACCTGGTGGCTTGTTTTCCCACTTTCCCTCTCTCGCTCTGTCTGTCTCTGGTCAAATTCAATAATAATAAATTAAATTAAATTAAATCATTCTTAAAAAAAAAAAAAAAGACACTGGGTGTGTGTGCACCAAATCCCAATAGGATGGAGAAGTGAAAGAGAAGGGTCTGCAGCATGACATGTCCCATTGGGAATGCCTTCTCCCCCTCTTCTCTTTGTCTCCCTGTCTTTTTCTGGCAAGCACATGCACATGCACAGTCTGGCAAGTTAAATAAACAGATAAAGAAAGGATGTTTCATGTCTGTATAACCCTCAATGTGATAAATTTGAAGGTAGTCTGCCTTGGTGTCCCTAGCACATTGTTGGCATGGAGCAAGTAGACTGTGAATCTTTTTTTTTATCATAAGTTATTTTTTTGAAGAATTTTAAAAATTTAATTGTTTTCATCATCATTTTATTAGTATTATTATTATTTGACCAGAGGGAGAGAGACAAAGAGGAGAACTGAGGAAGCAGGCCAACACTCCGGAACTTGTACCCCAGCTGGCCATGTAGGAGTCCAGCACCCTAACTACCATGCTACCTGCCAGCCCTACGCCATGTATCTATATTGGGTCGAGTTAGACTTTAACTCACAGTGACCCTGATGCTTCTATAAAGTCTATATTATGGTGCAGTGGCAGGTTCTGAGTATCTGGGAAGACCTTAAAGACAGAGGTAAGATGTCATGGTGGGCGATGATCATACACTGGGTCCCTTACGTTAAATGGAAATTAGAATGTAAGAGCTCCTTATTAATTCAGCAAAATTAACTACGAGAGAAGCGTGTTGGGATCCTTTCTCTGAGCAGATTTATAAACTTGTAAGAGGAATCCAGTCCACTCAGAGGAAACAGCTACCAGCATGCAGGAAGGAAAATTACCTGAACATTTCCAGCAAGGGGTGGAGGAAGGTTAGGCCAGTGGAGGGGCCAGGGAGGCAGCTTGAGAATGCATGCGTTTATGATAAGTTTAGGAAGTCAGGTGGAAAATTCCAGTTCTTTGGCTCACTTCTGACTTATTTTTCTGCTTTAGGTATCATTAGACTGTTTTTTCTTTATAAGGATGGTCTCTTCCTAATCAAAGCCATCAATGAAGCGGTGAGTTCCTGTTTTTTGAACAAAAGCAGTAGCAAGTTAAGCTTACTTTTAATATGGAGGATAGCTGTCCTAGATTAGAAAGAAATAGTCTTCCCTGGCCAAACAGCCTCCTCTAAAACTTCAGTTAAGGGATTCCCCATTGACAGGGAGTATAGGCTGATGCCTTGGATTTATCTGTCCTGTTGTTAAGAAAGAAAACTGGGTCAGCCTGTGACATGGTGGTTAAGTCAGCTGGATCCTACATGGGAGACCATGTGGTTCAAGTCCCAGAACTAGCAGCTTGACGCCAGGTGCGTGTACCTGGGTGCCCAAAATCCTGAGAGAAGAATGGAAGCAAAGGGACTGCAGCATGGTTATTCCCCCTGGGGGTGCTTTCTCACTCTTTCTCTCTGTGTCTCTCTCTGGCAAGAGCATGCACCTTATAACAAACTAAAAAACAAACAAATGAACTTTCAATTAGCACAATTCAGTGGGGAAAATAAATTATTTTCTTTTTTTTGGGGGGGGGAGAGATTTTTGCTATAGGGTGTGTACACTTGCCAAAAAGACAGAGACAGAGAGACAGAAAACAAGAAATCCCCCCCTGGGGAGATGGACCCACCGCAATCCCTTCTCTTCCATTCTCCTCTCAGGATCTTGGGCATGCACACACATGCGCCTGGCGTGAGTTTAAGCCACCAGGTCTGGGACTCAAACCGTGGTCAACTACATGGGAGTCCAGCGACATAGCCATTAAGCCAACTGCTGGTCCTGAAATTGTTTTCATTAAATGATGCTAGAACACTGGAGAAAAATGGGAGAAAAATGAACATCAACTATACATGGTACATTGTACCATGTACAAAAATTAATTTGAGATAGTTTATAGACCTAAGTATAAAGGCTAAAACTATTATTCTTCTTGAACAAACACAGAAAAATATTTTTGTAGCCTTGATGCAGGCTCAGATTTTCTTTTTAAGAATTATTTTATTTAACTTTATTTATTTTTTTACTTATTTATTTTAACTTAGAGAGAAAGTGAGAAAGCAAGCCGCCAGGTCTAGAAAATATAAAAAACCCTCAAAACTCAAAAATAAGGAAACAATGTAATTTTTTAAATGGGCAAAGGATTTAAACCAGTTCACCAAAGAATATATATGGAAGGAAAATAAAAAGCTCAACTTCATTGGTCATTACTTAAATGCAATTTAGAAACCACTATGTGAAGGACTGGCAGGTGTTTAATGTCTTCTTGTCCAATTCCGGTACCAAAATGTGAAGTACGAAGTAGTTTGAGGCATCTTTTCTTATCTCAAGCTTTAAACAGATCTCTGTTCCTGAGGCCCTGAAATACATTTTTCTCTGTCCCAGGCTGGCTTACTCCATCAGCCTCTTTTTCCTTTTCAGGATGACACCAGCAAACAAACCACCTGTGTAAAGATGGAGTTCTCTCAAGGAGGAGACTTTGCAGCCTTCCTCCTCCAAGGCAAGATGAACCAAAGACTGTGAGGAGGGTTCAGATTTGGAATCAGCAGATGGCGTAATGGTTACATCACTGAACTCCCACATAGTCAACTGTGGTTCTAGTCCCAGACCCAGTGGCTTAAAACTCATGCCAGGTGCGAGTACATGCATGCCCAAAGTCCCAAGAGGAGACAGGAGGAGAAGGGATTGCATTGTGGCCTTCCCCCTGGGGAGGTGATTTCTTACTTTTCGTGTCTCTCTGTCTGGTGAGTACACGTGCCCTATAACAAAAATCTCTCAAAAAACAAGCAAAAAGGTTCAGATTTGCAGTCTTTTCCAGATGATTACTTTTCCTCCCAGACCTTTAATTTAGGAATGATTTGTTTTAGATTTATGGAAGACTTGCAAAGATAACACAGAGAGTTCTCCTATGCTGTTTACCTAGCTTCCCTATAGCAACATTTAACATGACCTTTATACATTTGTCAAAACTAAGCAAATAACACTGGTATAATACTATATATTTTCATTGCCAGAAGACATGTGTGCTTGCCAGAGACAGGGAGAAAGTGCCCCTCCAGGGCATGGTCACACTGCAATTGATTCTCTCTTACTTTTCGATCCTGTTGGCATTTGGAGCATGCATGTACATATACCCAACATGTTTTTCAAGCCACCAGATCTGGGACTAGAGTCATGGTCAGCCATGTGGGAAATGGCTCCCTTAACCACTAGGTTACAAGGGCCAGCTGGGTAGAGTACTATTAACTAAATAGTAACTACAGAATTACTTTCTGACTTTCTCTCTTTCTCTCTCCCTCTCTGGTCAAATTGAAATAAACAAATTAATAAATAAAATTAAATAAAATAATTAAAAAAATATTTTAACACCTGGTATTTGGGCCTCTATGTGTACTCTTGCTTAAGATCTCTCAAACATTAGGTGCTAGAGGAAGACAATGCATTTTATAATGCTTAATATAGCAAAGGGGACTTTTATAGCCCTGTATTTGTTTCCTAAGGCTGCATAACAGAGTTATGGGTGGTTTAATTCAATATTTATTCTCTCACAGTTCTGTAGGACAGAAGTCTGAAAGTTAAAGTGTCCAGATGATTACTTAATTAATTATTTTAGTTTTGCCAGAGGGTGCTTCGACCTGAGTCTTGAAAAACACTGGCCACAGGGTGGCAGGTGGTGTGGTGGTTAAGGACACTGAACTCCCACATGGCCAACTGTGGTTCAAGTCCCAGACCTGGCAGCTTGCTTTCTCACTTTCCCTCTATCTCTCTCTTTGTCCTTCTCTGGTAAAATAAAAAATAATAAAACAAAATAAAGTTCAATAAAATAATTATCTAAAAAAAAAAAAAAAAAAACCCAAAAAACAAAAAACACTGGCCACATGTGCCTGTGTGCCCAAAACTCTGAAGGGAGAATGGAGAAATAGGGATTGGAGCATGACCATCACCCCTAGGGGGTGTTTATTCTTTTTTTTTTTTTAATTTATTTATTTTTATTAAGAATTATCTCACCCTCTGTCTTTCTGTGTTCAAATTAAAATAAATAAATGAAAAAAAGAATTATCTATTTATTTTATTTAATTCCATTTGTTATAATTATTTTTTATTTTGACCAGAGAGAGTCAGAGGGAGAGAAAGGGAAAGTGAGTAAACAAGCCGCCAGGTCCAGGATTTGAACCAGGGTTGGCCATGTGGGAATCCAGTACCCCAACTACCACGCTACCTGCTGGCCCCATGGGGGTGTTTTTTCATTTTCCCTTCTTCTGTCTCTGTCTCTTCCTAGTGAGTGCATGTGCCCAATTAAAAAAAAATAGCAAATTTAAAAAACAAACAAACAAAACTGTTCTATCAGCACCATGAACATAAAAAGTTCATTTCCTTTAGAGGGCTATGGCTCAAGGGGCTAATTCTCCAAGCAAAGTTATTAGAGGAGTGAGACCCTGCAGTAGTCATTGCAGAATTACATCTTCAACTTGTTGAAGTTGCTGTTCCTTGGAGCCTCTGCATAGGTGGCTGGTCTCAGTGCCAGTGGTTCTGAGAAGCCAGTGGTTCTGAGAATACAGGCCATGTCTCAGAGGGCATTTGTCACCGGCTTGCAGTTGCTCAATGATGCTTTGGTTTCCCAATGCAGGCGCTGGAGACGTTTGGCTGGATGTGTATAAATTGCCCAAGGAGTCTTGGCTTAAGGAAACAGAGTACCCCCAGCTTACTTTAAATCCAAAGAAAAAAATCAGACAGCTGCAACTGGTAGGAAACATCTCTTTTTTTTTTTTTTTTTTTCAGTTGTTGTATTTCTCCCGCCCACTGAC